GTAGTGTTGTCACTGTATACAGGTAACTGTAGTGTTGTCACTGTATACAGGTAACTGTAGTGTTGTCACTGTTTACATGTAATGGTAGTGTTGTCACTGTATACAGGTAACTGTAGTGTTGTCACTGTATACAGGTAACGGTAGTGTTGTCACTGTTTACAGGTAACTGTAGTGTTGTCACTGTTTACATGTAACTGTAGTGTTGTCACTGTATACATGTAACTGTAGTGTTGTCTTTGGACACCAGCAATGGAGCAACACTAGTGATTCAATATACAGATATGAACCTGGACACTTTCTTTTATGTTTTTGAGAGATGTCCTTTCAAAACAAAGTTACACTAACTTCCTGCTGTCACTTTTAAGTCAAGGTCACTGTATGAGATGAAGCAACTGATATTTACTTACAATGTATGTGTTGTACTGTTGTATTGTTTATCCTGTTTCTGAGTGTTACAGTTTATGTCACAATCATACCTTCGTTACCAGTGTCATTCACCAATACTTTATGTTCCTCTCTGATTACAGGTACAACTGTTTGACCAGATTGTGTTTGAGAGTGTTAAGTCCCATGGTCACTACTTCCATGCCAGCGAATCCTTCCAGATTGACCACTTCACATTCGGGTCAGTGTGCATGCCGTTTAACATCACAGTAACAGTTTGTCACCTGGATATTTCCAGCAATCTCTATTATCCAACATCATATTCTAGTCCTGAATTTCTTTTATTGAAATGCATGGTTACACCGGGGTTCCAACCCAGGACCAACCAAACTCTAGATGGACGCGCTACCAATAAGAACTACCTGGTTGCTGACGATTGACCCAGTCTTAAGTTCTGTTACATTCCTCCTACCTTGTTTTAAGCCTTTGCCCTGAAGACACAACTATTTACAACCCAGATTTGGGTATCCCCTTGCCAAGCATTCACCAAGCACTACAAACAAGGGTTGGTGACAGGCACCACTGTAACAGGAGGGATAAAATGCACGGCCAGACCATGGTTGGAACCCAGGACCCTTCAAATTCTAGACGGCCAGTTGAGCTACCTGGTTGCCATTGATCGACCCAGTCCAGTTTTACTACACTATAAATCTATGTATCCTATCAAATCCAGCAAGTTGGTTCGTCATACTTGGTGTTGGATTAGATAGCTCTTTCCACATTTTATTATACAGCTTTTACTCGTCATGACTTATTGGCATATTGCATAATGACCCCAAGGTTTATACCCAAAAGATCAAGCTCATAAAAATGGGTGAAAAATTACGTAATTTTGATGCTGAGCGGAAAGTTCTGTTTGATTGATTTCAAAGCATCAGGTGTCAATAGACAGCATATGTCACATATCATTCTAAGGTGTCCAATTGTCAAGGGCAGGAAAAAAGGGTCAAAGTTCAAGGCATTTTAATGCTTTTCAGCCCTCACTTTTGAAAAGTTCCCTCAGGATTTTATTACAAACTAACTAGGTGTTTATACCGTGTCTAGGAATTGTTTCAAGACTTTCTCACAAAGTTACACCAGATGGTCATGACAATAAATGATCAGATCATGTTAATAAAGAATAGATATTTTCAACTTTTGACACCTTGTTCTCTTCGATGATGCATCACTTTAGGCTTGGTAAGCACTAGCTAGCTTACTAGAAAACTGGGAGAGAGGTATACCTTAAGTCCCAAGTTTGTTTTCTTGAGGTTCTATGTTATATCCATTGACTCAATGTAGAAGACTTGCATGGGCAGTCAGCAATTATGTGGCCTTCTTAATCAATTAAATATTTGTTTTGTAATATCATTGATTGATTCCTTGTTATTGAAATTCTTTGTGTTGATACAATTTTATACTATAAAGATAGCTGAATTAACATTTTATGAATTTACATAAGTAAACAGTTTCATTTGGAAAAAGAAATGAAAACCAATGGACTTTTATGTGAAGTGAATACTATGTTGAGGTGTTGTGAGACAGTATACATATTATACATGTTTTGGTTTGTAATTGTAGTTCTGAACTGAACCTTGGAGTGGAGAGATCCAGTTTTACATTGATAGGATGTTACCGTGAACATGCTGACCAGGAGAGGTTTGTCAGGGTAGGTCACTCTGGATTTCTGTTTGTTTCATCAACAAATCCCATTTGTAAAACAATAGAAAATGTTATAGATCTTGTAGAAACAGGTTTACACCTTATTAGTTCCCCACTGGCTAATAACTGGAGAGGACTAAAGATTTTGACTGTGTCTTTGTATCAAGATTATTTCCATATACTCTGTCACCTAGATATGTATGTGGGACAGTGTCACACACGGGTCCAACTGGTCTAGTGCCCCGTTATATATCTGGGACATATATATATATCACTTATACTCTGTCACCCCAAGCTGACAAAATCTGTATGTGTGTTAGTACCTTTGAGATGGTTAAGTGTTGCATACAAAACATTAGACTTATACCACAATATATACAGAGTTATGGCCCTTTCTTTATCATGCATCACTTTGTCTGGAGAATATACAATTTCTTGTTTTTCATTTTAGTAACTTTTGGAATGTTGGAGTCATGCCCCACTTTATACAAATTGATAAGTTTTTATACCAAATTTTGTCCAGAGGTGGGGGACTATGGACTGCATGTAATTCTTTGACTTGTTAACTTTTAAAAGCTTTCTCAGTGGTGATGCTTCTTTTTTACACTGTATTATTGATATTTCTTTAGTTTATTTATTTGTTTCTTTATTTGTTTAGAAGTCGGTAATACTGTGTTGACATGTATATATGACAGGGTGGGTCTGTGATACGGCTGTTCCACAAAGAGTTGGAGGCCTACCTGGTGGCTGAGGGACTGTTTGACGACTGTATTACAGAGGATGGTATGTAGGATACAACAGTCTATACCTTCTCATGTACAGATAATAGAACATTTCAGCGGAGTTAAATCCTCCAGTTGTCAGATTATCACCTTTTTATAAGTCACTAGAGCTGTCATAATACAGAAAAATATAACTGTCAATTTTAAATTGTAGATATTGTCATTGTAGAATTACTTTGTGTTATATTACCAAATTGGCCCTATCAAAGAGATGAAATAGCTTGTTATCAGAATTTGAACATGTTTATTTAAGTAATGGATGCTATTTTGGTACACTAGTTCCTTTCTGTCCAACATTCACTATTCTCAGGTGCCTATATTGTTTCTATTCCTTTGACAACTGGTGATATAATACCTGAAATCTTTGCAGGTAGAAACCATATACCGGTATTACAAACTCTTGTGATTCCTTTTGTTTCTATTCTACTTCAACTGTTTACACATTCTCTACTGTTTAATACTAAGGGATATACCTTCCTGTATTAATTGAAATTGTCTTGGTTTTTTTTCAGTTCATTTCCGTGTTCGAGTGATTGACCAGCACCGGCCAAAGTCCCTGTCTGCGTCCACTTCGGGTATAACGTACTGGCAGATAGAGGCGGAGCACAGCATACTGGATGGTGAGTAATCATGAACTACTTCATTAAACTTTTAAGTCAACCATAGAGCTGTAGATTATCCAGTTCCCATGGGCTTCTGGAACTTAAATTTCAGAACCCTTGAACCCACATGGTGGATCGTGAAATTTTCCCTGTTTTTTTTCCCCCTTAAATGAGACATAAATCAACACAGACTAAGAAAAATATCTATAAAGTAAGTAATACTGGAAAGCAAACATCAACAAACTTTACACTTCAATATTTTTTAAATGTCAAATTTCATGTAAGTAAGAGACACGTACACGTTTAGTCAAGATTCACACTAAGTGTTCTTTACCTGATCATGAGTATATGATAAGGCTGCATGGCTATCTGTTTATGACAAAACATAGAAAATGTTTGAGACAATTTTTAATTTGATATTTTCTGAAGTAGTGTTTATTCTGCTATGATGTATTAAAATCTAGTACACAGCCGACATCAGACCTGGAATTTGTTTATCATTCTCAACTCTTTGAGCAAAAATATGATATTTTGTCATAAAAAATTTCATGGTAGGTATTTTCAGTATGTGCATGTGGGATGTTTCTAGTGGAAAAACATTTGTAGATATTTTGTACAGGTAATTAATGCAGTTTTATAAATACACTTTGATGTTATCAGTTAGACCACACATGCTTGTTGCTGTACAAAAACATGGCGTCTTTCTTAGCAGGCTAATTAATGTTATGGTACAAATTGCACAAATAGAATTCTACATTGACAAAAAGTTCTGTAACAGGAAACATCTTGATGGAGAGAAAAAATCTAAAGTTGTGTTGAGAAAGAAATGTCTCTACAGGTTGTTATTCTGTATCTTATGTTGGTAGTCTTCAAAAATACATTTAGCAAAAAAGGAATCAATCTTCCAGTTCAGTACCAGTGTTACCTGTAATTAGGTTGATTATAAATAGTGTTTGTTTTATGCAGGAGACCTGTTCTGTGTACAAATTCTATTAGCTCAATTTAGAAATAGATAAATTTATGAACTTAAGGTTTATGGTTTGATAATCAAGGTACTATCTGTCTTTCTACTGTTGTTAACTATGGTCTGATGTGTGGGGAAAATCACATTACGTAAAAAGGACATTTTTTTCTATTTTTAACCATTTTTAGGTCACCTGAGCTTTGCTCAAGTGACCTATTCCAATCGCTTTTCGTCCGTCGTCGTCCGTCGTCCGTCGTGCGTCGTGCGTCGTGCGTAAACTTTTACATTTTCAACTTCTTCTCAAGAACCAGTGAATGGATTTTTTTCAAACTTGGTCAGAATCATCCTTGGTAGATGAGGCTTCAAAATTGTAAAATTGGGATTCCTACCCCCACCCCTGGGGCCAGGGCGGGGCCCCAAAGGGAAAATTATCCAATATTTCAAAAATCTTCTTCTCCAGACTCACAGGTACTACAGTGATTTTCTCTACGTGGAAAGAAAGATCATCAGGCGCTTTACTTAAATTGTAAATTTCAGGACCCCCGAGCTATCCGTTCTCCCTTGGGGAGGGGGTAAAGTTTACTATAGTTTATATAGGGAAATAACACTTTTGGGTATATTTTGACAACTTTCTGTAGGAAATTATTTTTACTTGGTGAGAATTATCCTTGGAGGTAGATGGTTTCAAATTGTAAAATTGAGATTCCTACCCCGACCCCTGGGGCCAGGGCGGGGCCCCAAAGGGAAAATTAATCAATATTTCAAAAATCTTCTTCTCCAGACTCAGAGGTACTACAGTGATTTTCTCTACGTGGAAAGAAAGATCATCAGGGGCTTTACTTAAATTGTAAATTTCAGGACCCCCGAGCTATCCGTTCTCCCTTGGGGAGGGGGTAAAGTTTACTATAGTTTATATAGGGAAATAACACTTTTGGGTATATTTTGACAACTTTCTGTAGGAAATTATTTTTACTTGGTGAGAATTATCCTTGGAGGTAGATGGTTTCAAATTGTAAAATTGAGATTCCTACCCCGACCCCTGGGGCCAGGGCGGGGCCCCAAAGGGAAAATTAATCAATATTTCAAAAATCTTCTTCTCCAGACTCAGAGGTACTACAGTGATTTTCTCTACGTGGAAAGAAAGATCATCAGGGGCTTTACTTAAATTGTAAATTTCAGGACCCCCGAGCTATCCGTTCTCCCTTGGGGAGGGGGTAAAGTTTACTATAGTTTATATAGGGAAATAACACTTTTGGGTATATTTTGACAACTTTCTGTAGGAAATTATTTTTACTTGGTGAGAATTATCCTTGGAGGTAGATGGTTTCAAATTGTAAAATTGAGATTCCTACCCCGACCCCTGGGGCCAGGGCGGGGCCCCAAAGGGAAAATTAATCAATATTTCAAAAATCTTCTTCTCCAGACTCAGAGGTACTACAGTGATTTTCTTTACGTGGAAAGAAAGATCATCAGGGGCTTTATTTAAATTGAAAATATCAGGACCCCGAGCTATCCGTTCTCCCTTGGGGAGGGGTTAACGTTTAATATAGTTTATATAGGGAAATAACACTTTTCGGTATATATTTTATATATTTTCAGCAGAAAATTGCTCAAACTTAGTCAGAATCATCTTGGGTAAATGAGAGTTTTACTTTGTAAAATTAGGATTCCTGCCCCATCCCCAGGGGCTAGAGCGGGGCCCCAAAGGGAACATTTACCAATATTTTCAAATTCTTATCCATTGATGACATGACAAGTATTGTATTTCACTTAGTTTACATGCTGATTTCCACATCACATCTAAACAATAAAATAAAGCTACCAGTATCTATGATATAACTCAGGTGACCGCTAAGGCCCTTGGGCCTCTTGTTGATTTAAAAATATATCTGATGGCTTTTATTGACAATTTCTTAACCTCTGAGGTTTTACATAACTAATATGGGAACAATCTAGACATTGAATGAGGAAAGATTTGTATGCCTGTTAAAAAGACAAATAGATAGTTAATTGCTAAGAAAATTCCCTTTGATAGCTTGTTGTAGGGAGATAAATTGAGAAGATTATGGAAAAAGGAAGTGTTTGAGTCTGGTATAAACATAACGCTGTCTAGACGATGTTACTTTCAGTCTGTCTTAGTACAATTGAGTCCTAGTCCATTACATCTCTACTAAGTGTGTAATAACTTGAGTAAGGGAACCAGGTGAACCCTTCATGTCTGTATTAAGTGTGTTATGACTGAAGTAAGGGAATTAATTAGGGCCCCGTATCGGAGATATATTGTAATCACTTTGTGTGTCCGTCCGTCCGTCTGTCCGTCCGTCCACAAATTTTATTCCTGACTGATAACTTTGGTATTAATTGACCGATTTACATGAAACTTGGTCTAGATGTTCAGTTCACAAAAATACACACTGAGGTAAAAAGTCAAGGTCAAAGGTCCAGGTCAAATTTTGCATCTTTTCACTTATGAGCATTTTGTTATGACATGATGAAGCAAAGCTGATCAGAATTAAACAAGGAGTCAACTGACTGAAGGTCAAGGTCATTGGGTCAGAGGTCTAGGTCAAAGGTCAATGTCAAATTTTGTAGCTTTTCACTAATGAGCATTTTATGACATTATGAAACAAAGTTGGTCGAAATTAAACAAAGAGACACACTGAGGTAAAGTTCAAGGTCATTAGGTCAAAGGTCAAGGTCATTTTTTGCATCTTTTCACTGATGAACATTTTGTTATGACACTATGAAGCAATGTTGATCAGAATTAAACAAGGAGTCAACTGACCAAAGGTCAAGGTCATTGGGTCAAAGGTCAAGGTTTAATTTTGCATCTTTTCACTGATGAACATTTTGTTATGACACTATGAAGCAATGTTGATCAGAATTAAACAAGGAGTCAACTGACCAAAGGTCAAGGTCATTGGGTCAAAGGTCAAGGTTTAATTTTGCATCTTTTCACTGATGAACATTTTGTTATGACACTATGAAGCAATGTTGATCAGAATTAAACAAGGAGTCAACTGACCAAAGGTCAAGGTCATTGGGTCAAAGGTCAAGGTTTAATTTTGCATCTTTTCACTGATGAACATTTTGTTATGACACTATGAAGCAATGTTGATCAGAATTAAACAAGGAGTCAACTGACCAAAGGTCAAGGTCATTGGGTCAAAGGTCAAGGTTTAATTTTGCATCTTTTCACTGATGAACATTTTGTTATGACACTATGAAGCAATGTTGATCAGAATTAAACAAGGAGTCAACTGACCAAAGGTCAAGGTCATTGGGTCAAAGGTCAAGGTTTAATTTTGCATCTTTTCACTGATGAACATTTTGTTATGACACTATGAAGCAATGTTGATCAGAATTAAACAAGGAGTCAACTGACCAAAGGTCAAGGTCATTGGGTCAAAGGTCAAGGTTTAATTTTGTATCTTTTCACTGATGAACATTTTGTTATGACACTATGAAGCAATGTTGATCAGAATTAAACAAGGAGTCAACTGACCAAAGGTCAAGGTCATTGGATCAAAGGTCAAGGTTTTATTTTGTATTTTTCCACTGATGAGCATTTTGTTATGACATTATGAAGCAAAGATGGTCAAACTTAACAAGGAGTCAAATGACTTAAGGTCAAGGTCACTGGGTCAATGTCAAGGTCAAGTATTGTATCTTCTAACTGATGAATATTATTTTTATGTTATTATGTAGCAAAGTTGTTCAAAGTCGAGGTCAAGTTTTGTATTTTTCACTGATGAACATTTTGTTATGATATTATGAAGCAAAGTTGGTCGGAATCAAAGATTAATTAAGTCAACTGACCAAAGATCAGGGTCACTGGGTTAAAGTTCAAGGTCATTTGGGTCCAATGGTCAAAGACAAAGTGGATCTCTGTCTTTGACCCTGGCTCTTGATGGAGGAGGTATTTAAGGTGAAATAAAATATATCAAAGCTAACAAATGCACCGGTATTTACATTTCTGTTAGCCTAGAAAATATGGAGGTGGAAGGAAACGAGACTCACATCATAGTACATGTAAAATGTATATTATGCTTCC